AGTCACTTTTAATAACAATTCGGTCAGTGGACAATTTTGTTTAAATTATTTAATTACTTATATTCTAGTTTACTGTAGTAGTAGTAGTAGTTTATTACTATTCAGCTATAATAACCAAGAAGGGAACTTGGTTTATATAAAATTAATTATAACTTTTGTACTTATCCACTCATCCATCCATCCATACATTTTTACTATACATCTTATCTCTATTCTCCTTCGCTTACCACAACTATCTTTAACCTATTTCTACACATAACCTAAAATTATACCTTTTTTTCTCACTAACCCTATCACAACCTTATCACAGCTATTTGCATTATCTCTTTCCTATAATACCTCTTTTCCCTTAACATATACTATCGCCATATTCTAGTTTAGAATACTGGATATTATAGTTCACTAAAACACTGAAGAATTGTATTCAGCGATCCAAGAATTATATTTAGCGACTCAAAAACGAAAGATTACGTGTATAATTTATATTACACTTTTCAGGCTAAAAAATCAGTCCATTTTATCCATCATTTTATTAGTCCATCATCTATTATTTTAAAGTCGAATTTTATGGGCATTTATAGTCTGTTATTATTTCATAAGCAATTATAACTTTGTGAATCTCTTATAATTTATCACCCCTTATTGACTATTTCTTTCATACATTAACAAATATTGATTCAAATAGTCGAATAGTAGTCGGCGAATATGAAACTAATTTTATTCTTAATTAAAGATCGTGAAAATAATTTATTTATTTTGAATTTATCAATACTTTTTTTTATTTTTGCTTATTGTTATTATTTAATCGAAATCAAATTTAAATCTCTATTGATGTTTACACAACTTATTTTAATTTTTATTTCTCTCTTTTTACTCCTTTTAGATTTAAATTTTATCAAAATTTCCAACGGCAATAAGAAAAAAATAAAAAAATTGTCCATATCAATTGTTTAATATTTTCGTATCAAAAATATTTTATCTGCAGTTAAATAAGTCACACAGTTAATATATTGCTTATTGAAAATAAGAGTAAATGAAGATTAAATGAAGCTGGGATATTGAGATATAATCAAATGTCAAATAATTCTGAATATTTATTTTCTAACAGTGCTTATAGCACAAGACATAGAGCTATTATAGAGGCCCTTGGCAACTTTTTCTTTAAGCCTCAAAAAGAAGAATAGTAATAAGTAATAATTTGTAGCATTAAGAGTACGATAATAATCTCTATAGTGTTACATCCTAAGAATTTCCACTAGTTTTTGACAGGTTTGACAGAATTTTTAAGATTAATGTTGAAGTAGAATGTGTTAAGTCGAGTAATTTTATTACTACCGTGTGCCTTTCATTGTCGCTGAATGTACCGTCGTTAAAAGTGTGCCGACGACCGGCGACGTACGTTTTTGGAAAACAAATGATCGGAGAAAGTGCAGTGGTATGAGTTGAAGAATCTAACGGAGGTGTGGTCGGGGATTTTAAGAGCCATTGATGAGAGCCGAAAGAGCTAATAAAATCTCCTGTCTTATCTCCTCTTTCTCTCTCTCTTTCTCTCTCATCTTTCACACGCACACGCTGCTTTGCTTCATATATGATAATTACCCGGACGGCCGGAATCTTGTGACTCGAAATAGTCCTCTCTCAATCGTTAGGTCATCTCTTGCGCCGCTACAGACGAGCCGATAAATCTAGCGCTATCGATTTTCGATTGAGCCAATAGTATTATTTCCACGCACGTATACAAGAGAGAAGTTGCATTCGAAATTAGGTCAGTCAGAGACTATGCACATTTTATATGAAGGTCTACAATACGCGAAGTAAGCTTAGCGTGAGTTAGAGTGAAAAATAAAAATAATTTATTTCGCTTACGCTTTCACTCTAGCTTCCTTATACCGTGAATATATCTCTCTTGAGCAAGAGAAATAGTTCCCGTGTAAGCGAGCTATAGGTGTATGTGTGTGTAAGCGAAATAAATTATTTTTATTTCTTACTACAATTTTTTTATGCCAAGCTCACTCTGCAGTATTGCAGACAAGCCTTCAGATTATTACGCTTAACTTTATGAAGGATTTACGACATATTTAGCGCGCGATATCCTATAATACGTGTAGATTATAATCCAGGCTAATTTCGACGCGCTATCATTTCATTGACCGTCCCGCAATTCTCCGATTTTTTATTCATTCAGATCGGATCGTCCTTCGAAAATTCCGCGCGAATATTATCGGAAACTCGGCGCGACGATAATCGACCGGTGACTAATACGGAAATCGCTTTCGTACTTTCGTTTCTTCCGGTGCGACCTACTTCGCAACGGAGGAATGTCCACGACGAGGAAGTGTTTTAGATTTTCGTTGTACGAGTAGCGTGAGAGAGACGCGCGCATATATCGGATCGCCCACCTGTAAAATCGAGAACCGGTTTTGCTCATTACGCCGCCCTCTTGCACGCGTCTCCTTCGTTCGTGCCGATACAGACGGTGTGGCCGCGCAAATCGATAGTCGTGTACTCGAGTCTGTCATCCTTTGTGAGACGAAATAACACACGTCTATCTGTTTTAATCGCGCGAGTTCTAGAAACGCTCGAGAGTCTCGAATTACATCAAACTGATCGCGACACGAAAAGTAATATTTCATTATTATATATAAATAAGAGACATTAAACATTTGCGTCATTGGATTTAGAAGTATAAAAATAAAATTTACATACTCTCAAATCCAATATTTTTTTATCGAGGGAGACAGGAATATTTTATTGTTTTAGTCTATTTTTTTACTTTCATAGTTACATTTTCTCTTTTTTTTGTTTCTATCTTTACTATAATTTTTTTTTGTACTTTTTGTAACACTAATTATATTATATTTGGATAAATTTGCGTTAAGTGAAAAATAGAGTTGACATTTTACATTTATAGATCTGACGTTGTGAGAAGTTTCTCTCAACCGTAACGCGTTTTGGAAAATAGAGATAGATATGATGTAGAGAGATAGAAGTTCGGAAAATAGAGTTCTTTTTCTCTCACCCCTGAGATAGTGTATCTTGCCCGAGAGGAAATGAAGAAATACAAACGCTGCGACTTTCCTCGCACTAGTTTCGTCTAACGGCGCAGTGAAAGTTTGCGGTTGACGAAAGATTGACAGAAAGAGTTATGTACGAGGGTTGACCGTCGAGAGGGTTAAAGATCGATTAGCATCGCTGTTTCGATTTCACGATGGTAGAGAGGGACGTTGCGTGGAATGCGAATTTACTCGCGGCGAAATATCGACGAGACTTCGAGAAATTTCGCGACGCGTGACTCGCGTGTCAAAGACGAACGTGCGTGTTCGAAAGCGAAGTTCCAGCGCGACGGAATATAGATCAAATGTTCCATCATTTCTGCTCCATTAGTCGATCAACGTCGCGCGTCGGAAACACACGGAAAACAGGGGGATTAACCGACGTGAGAGACGCTCCCGGATCGAATTTTCAGAACAGACGTGTGTACTTTGATACATACGAATTCTACAAACGCGAACGGGAATGAAGCACACATTTTGCCCGGGAGGAAAAAGGAATCAGCGCGCGATATCGCATTTTCAGTGAAAATGAGCAAACTGAGCGTGCTCGTGTGTGTGTAGCACGTAAGAGCAAACGCGATATGTTTCGTTTGCAGTCGCGGTCGTTTCTCAAACGACTCGCATTTCGCTGTAATAAACCTTCTCTTTCGTAAACTTCCCAGTAATTATGCACGCGCTTCATGTTTTACATTCTATAAACCGGTATCACGATATCGCGGGCGTTTGTAAAATACTGTTATCTTAATAGAATATCGACGTTCGTATGTCTTCTTCCTCGAGCAACGATAAATTCGGCAGTCAGATGAATCCTCGGACGCGGATAGAACTTGCGTGTCTCATTCAGGCGGGAAGTCTATGGTACTCAATAAGCAGCAATTTATCGAATGTCATTAGCTGAATTGACCCAACAGCGGCCCATAAACTTAATTATTCGCCGGCGGACTTGCTCATAATTTCGTCTGCCTCTTCGCCGCGCACGAGCGCCGTACATGAAAGTAAAATCTATATACCATTCATCGGTATGGCCCGTGCGAATCGTGTAGCCATTTCCGGTCGCTCGCGCAATCTATATTCTAGCGCGGGGCGCACCAACAATCATCGTTGTACTTCTGTCGGGCCGATGCTCCGAGGTCAGTATTCATGAAGACTTAGAAAGTGGAGAGACGCGTAGCGCGAATGCGATACCTGACTGATATGTCATTAATCATCATCCACGTCTGTAACTCGTGTTTCTCATTCTTGGTTACATACGTGCGTCACATACTGGCTCCGAGCTGGCGCCGAAACTCTCGCGAAATCAGAGGACTAAATTCTGTGTTTAACGCGAGAACAAGTTGGAGTATCAATTCTCGGACGCGTACCTAATCCTGCACATTTTCCTTATTTTACTTTTTAAATATGAATATTTAAATTTTCCACATAAAATATATTTACATACATACATTAAGAAAAAAAATATCTAAAAATTAATAATATCTCTTTATTTTTACTTCAGCTTACTACAAGGACTTCAGCTTAATGCCAGGAAGTTCTTAGTTTTACTTTACTTTATTTTTACATTTTTTCTACACCTACTTTTTTCTTTTCTTTTTCGCTTCTTATCCTAGTTATTTCTTATCCTACTTCTTTCCTTTTACCTTTTACCTCTTATCCTAAATATTTCTTATTCTATACTTGGCAAATTCTATCCTTTGGATTTCTTATCCTATATTCTTGGAAGTTTGCCATGCCTTCCGAGAGGAGTATCTAAAAATTAATAATTAACATTTATTTTGGTGGGTACTAACAGCAGATTTATTTAAATTTAAATTTTCTTTATTAAATTTCTTTTATTTAAATAGAGTAGCTTATATAACTTTCATGAAAAATTAAGGCTTTTCTTAATGTTTTAAGGAAATGTATATTTTTTATTTGAAAAATATACATTTTATATTAGCATATGTAAATATGTGCTGTTAATATTTATATAAATATTTACTTATTTTTAGAAATTTTTTTCTGAGTATATTAAACACATATTCTCATATTCTACGTTAAAAATTTAGATGTTTATGCTCGGAGAGAATTTTATAATAGAAATGAAGAATAGATCGACATTATGCAGTAATTTATTATTCTTTTGTTTTCACATGCGTTACTTATATTTCATAAAATGAGATGTAGGATTAAAACATTTATTATGTTTTTAGCAAAATTTGTTATGTTAAATAGCAATAGCTGGTGAAATGTGCAATATTCCTTACCAAGATAGACTTTACTGACATTCTGCACTACTATTCCTGCACTACTAAAAACATAGTGAAATGAAAAGAATTTCTATAAATGAAATAATTATAATATTCTCCCCATGTAATTAAAGACTAACAAGAGTGTCCAGGATTAGGTACGTGTTCCAGCATCGGTACTTTTACTTTAACTCGCATTCGTTCCGTATATGTGTGTATCTGACGCGTACGCGCACGTTAATTAGCAAAATATTTGTCGATCGTTATCATTATGTCTATATATGCGCATATATGTTTATGGATGCTACAACGAATTGTTAATTAAACTTATCGCGCACAAATGAGTGCAGCCGATCTTTGATCATTTCTCTTTAACAAATAACTGAAAACTGCACAATTGTATTTAATATATAAAATTACATTTATACTTGAAAATTACATTATATTTTACATTATACTTTATGCAAGAAAGAAAGAACGGAAAAAGCGGTTATTGGCGTCAATAGCTGGGCGTATATATTTGCGCAAAGCGCGCGTTGGCATCTCGACGGCATATTTCAAACAAATTAATTATTGCCGTAAGCTACGTGTAAGCTCTCGCCGCGGAACGTAGCTCGCTTATCGAACTTGCGGATAGCAAAATGTTTCGAGTTCGCAACAATTAGCGCTCTTGCGCGAAAGTCCTGCGATAACATACTAATACCCAGTAACTCCCAACGCGAAATGATGTTTGACGTTTTCGAGCCGCGTATTACTGCGAGGCCGCTCGAACTTTGCCGATACTCCGAGTCGATTTGGAAACTGGAGATGCTGGAGGGAAATGCGAATGAAATAATCATGAGGGAGGAGGGAAGATGTTCTTGCGTTACGAAACCTCCGTTACTCATATCGTTTTATACATCTTTTGCAATATTATCCTTGACCGAACGATACATTTCAAGAGAACGAGACGTTTTGATGTGTAATAATTCGTAATTCGTAATAATTCGTCGACTCCCTCTTCTCGCGAATTACCGTGCGCGACTCGTGACTTCCTCATTTGTTACCATGAAACGGCCCCCGTGTTGTAATCGCGTATAATGCCAAGTGCGCGAGGCGGACAATGAGAAAACGGCACGTCGTGAGCCGCATCGGTAGGAGCACGGGCCTGATGATCGTTAGGAAAGCGACCGGGATGCGTTCCGGCAGGCGACTTCGAAAGTGAGGCCTCGATCACGTTTCGTTCGATGCCGGGCTCGGCGCCGGGCACGTAGACGCGGATACACTGAGCTTTGTTTTCGTCCTCTTTTCCGTCCGATCTTACGACGACGTTGCGGTCCGAATCCCGGCACGTTTCCGCGGCGGAATCCCTGCTAAGGTCGTGGCTGCGCCGTACCGTGGCGAATACTTGGCGTTATTGAAAGACGCCGGGGCTTCCTTGCGGAAAGCAGAAGTTTTCTCGCGCTCATCGACGCGCTTGTCGCTTAACGTTTTACGACAGTATAGTAGGTTTCCAGCTGGATATATCGGGGTAACTTCTCCCACGGGACGTCTCGCGTATATCGCGGGATTATGAGCGAGAAAATCTCTTCGGCCAAGAAAACTGGTCTTTTACAACAGAGAGAGAGAGAGAGAGAGAGAGAGAGAGAGAGAGAGAAAAGGAGAGAGAAAGAGAGCGCAGCGCGTCGATAGAAAAATATTCTTCCGAAATAATATTTGAACACGTTGTAGCATTGATTTGAAAAATTTTGTTAAGCGACGCTTTGTATGAATTTTGCAGACGAGTCTCATGGAAATTCGCAACGCTCCGAAATTGTAGCCACATGTCATTCGCGAAATAGGTGATTGATTTTCGGTCAACTTCATTTTGCGGAGCACGATTTTTCTGATAAGTTTCGAAAGTCAAAGCGAGAGCCAAAGCTAACCAATAGCCAAAGCGAAACGATAGCCATTTCGGAGATAACGACGAGTCGTGGTGAAGCCGCGACGTGCATATTAAATGGAGCGAAACGCTGTGTATTTGCGTCGATAAGTGTGGACACGGTGTATTTAATTCGCGCGCTAAAGTAGCGGCTTGTCGAACCGCCTCCTCGGTCCATAATTCAATTTCGCTAGTTCTCTCCCCTTCTCTCTCACTCGCTCACTAGGAAACTCATCGATTTCCTGCGCTCGTAGCTTCGCCACCACGAAATTCGGTTAAGGCCGGGCGAATCGCGATCGCGAATAGGAAAAGCTGATTTGAACGCGCGCGCACACGGAAGCAGGCGACGAATCTCCTCAGTGGCCGCAGCGCTCGTTAGAGTCGGACGAAAGGAGAAATTTGCGCGCGAACGATCCTTCGACAAAAAGGAATGGCGAAGGAAAGAAAAGAAAAACACGCCGCGCCCGCGTTTATTGGCGATCGAGAGCGCGTCGCCGCGCGAATAATCGCGCAACAGCGATCGATGCATTTACCGATGCGTCGTGTGTCCCCGACGTATTCCCACGTTCCCCGTCCTAATTCCGAAGGCGAAGCGCTTGAATTCCGAAGGTAAACAGACTAAACCGTTGGCCGTTAAAAGGATTTACATTTCTTTTAGAAAGGCGGCATACGCGCGGGTACCGCTTACGTAAAACGCACGCGAGTAGAGAGCGCCCACGAGAATTTCCGCCGAAAATACTCCTCGACATCGGGACTGACGCGCGTTTCCCGTTTCGCGAATCTATTCCGAACGATTCGACACGCGCGCGCGCGTCGACTTCCGGTAGATATAACCGAAAATATCATCTCACGAACTGAAGTTCGCGTCGTACTGTTTCCACGTTTAATTTCCGGTGCGGGGGTCGCGTTGAAAGGCGCGACGAACCGTTCGTTCTTCGACCCAGGACGAAAGGAGGAATAAAGAAGGGCGCGTCGAACGAGTGGAAAATTCACGATTGGTTAACCTACTTCGTGGGAGCGAATCCGGTTGTCCTAGAAATCTTACTGCGATTTTACGATGCGACCCCGCGATTGAACTTGCGCGGCGCGATATTGCGTGTTTCCGACTGCGGGAATTTCGGATTTAGACAGCTTCCTCGAAGCGCAGCGCCCGCTGAAGTTAGGAATTAAATTTTCAACGAGTTCGCCAGAGGACAACTTCGGGAGAGTAGGGGGCAATATAAAATCACACTCCGAATGTCGGGAAAGAGAAAAGCGGACGCAACATACTTTAGCTAAATGTTCCGTAAGCAACGACTTTGCTTGTCAATCGGTAACCCTTATAGTTCGGGCGGTTTTTTCAGTGACTTTTATAATCTTTGAACTAGAACGTATAGTCAAAGGATAGACTAATGAAAAAACCTCCGCGGCATTACGATATTCTCATATCGTATTGTAACTATTTCCCAAATTGATTTTTATGATTTTATGATTCTCGAGATCATAAAAGAATAAGTCAGACTCATCATCCTATAGTCATTTTGATGTCAACATGACGTGGGTTACATTTTTGCCTATAATACCACAATTATCATCTAAACATTCATTTTTACTTTTTCTTATGAAATTTTATTGCGCATAATCTCAATTTATTTGATGTCAATTTTTCGTCAAATTGAATTATTTTTTTGACGCAATGACAACAAACGACGGTTTTGATGTCATTTAATGTCATTTAATGTTTTAATGTAATATTGATATCGTTTTGACTAAGCAGCTTTCACTGGAGTGTGTCTGATAAAATAAAGATCGGTCGTGTGTAGATTGGGTGTGTAGATGTAGATTGGGTCATCAAATTGTCAGACACCCTGTATATGATAATAAGATAAAAGTCGAAAAATATAGAGAAGAAAATGTCTATTATTATACTTACATAAATTTCAAAGTATATTATTAGCAAGATGTTACTAAAAATTTGCACGATGAAAATGCATTTGTCTTTTTTTATTTCTTATTTAAAGCGTTTTTTATATTTTTTTAAGTTTCCTTTTACTAATGTATATGGAAAAGGTGAATAATAATAATAATAACAATAATAATAATTGTAGTCGCATTTCACAAAATTGCTGCCGCGTCACTATAATGGTTTCTTATATTGTAAAGAATTAACCACGATGCGCAGCGCGACGACGCGTTTTTATTTCGGAATTTCTCGTCTCATCTTGTGCAAAAAAAAATCGAGATTCCACCGTCCCGCGCTCGCGGGGATTGTAGATTTCGAGTCGAGGTCGCGATCGTGCATCCACCTCTAGGGAAGGGGGGTTGCACCTGCGGGGGTTGCGACGGACGCATCGCGTCGCGGGACCGGCGAAAGCGTCTCCCCCGCGTCGCGACGACCGCGGCGAGCGGAGGATGAGAAGAGGAGGAGGGGAGGAGGTTAGAGGAGGGGAGGAGAGGACAAGCGTGCAGGTGAGGGAGCGAAAGAGAGAGCGTGCGAGAGGGAGACGTGGGGCTGAGAGAGAAGTCGCGATTGGTTAAGCCGCTCGGAAAAGCCCGCCTGGCTGCTCGACCGGCCGGCACTTCGCTCAGTTCTCCACTGCGCTCCGTGTGAAGCGGAGCTTTCGAGATCCACGCTCCCTCTCTCACCCGTCGCGAGCGGCCGCCGATTCGCGAGGGTTCGTCCCTTCGATCGGGATCCCGTGCGAGTGCCGGTCAGGAAGAAGAAGTCGTCCACTCACTCAGGAGAGATCGCTTGCGAAAGCGACTCGGCGGTCTTCGCACCGATTTACGTCCGGGAGGAGCTGACGAGGGGAGAAGAGGAGGATTGAGGAGAGCGACGATGTGCGAAAGGAAACCACTGCGAGTGCTTCAGGACGCCTAGATCCAGAGGACTTGAACGATATCCCGGAGTGACAGCCGCGAGGTCGTCGAGAAGAAGCAGCCGCGGAGGAACGCCTGCGGGAACGAGATTCAGGATAATCATGGTGAGTACCTTTTGATTGTCCAATGTTGTATTATTTGCATGCGGTTGTCGCGCGAATTTGCAGAACTTCCGAACGAAGCGAACGCAATTCCCGCTTTTAATTATGCATATTTTTGGCCGAGTCGCTCGCAACAATTCTCTTTAGCGTAACGTCGTTAAACTGGTGAATATGATTGCGATAATCGATAATCCGATTTGTGGATCTCCCCTGTACTTCAGTTAATTAGCATATACAATCTCTTGTTACTCAGTCCATTATGCATACACAACGACTGCGTTTTGCCGGAATTTTTCATCGCGCATTCATTTATTTTGCCGTTCGAAAGGTAGCCTCGCGCGAAATGTTCCTTCGTTAGGAACATTTTGTACGATGAGCGATGGCGAATGCGCGACACTTGGATTTGCGCGTCGTGATTGACGCGATGTTACGCGAAAGTAATTTTTCTTCGCAAAAAGACAGCTTATTACTGAGCACTCGTTCTTGAGGTTTTTCTTTGAGATTAGAGGACAAAGCTGAAACGAAATCCATTCGGTATTAAGTATAAGCGGTCAGAGTAAGCAACAAGGCACGGTCGACCCTCGTAAACTCACATGATGTTCCGGGCGCAGATAAGAGATGATAGGGGAAAATTAAGGAAACCTCTGCGCTCACTACTCCGTAGCTTTGTCGAGAACTCGTGCTCCTAATTTAAGTGCACAATCGTGTTTCCTCGAGTTTGTAGCTTAAAGCTAAAGGAACCCGACGCTTGTTCTCGAAGTAGGTTCTGTTGAAATTCTACCTGAGATTATTATTGTGGAAAGAGCTACGAGGTTAACTATCAATAATAGCAGTGCTATCCCAGTCGTTGGTACCTTAGCGTGACACATTTGTCCCCAGAGGATATCGTCGAACGAATGCCCTCTTAACCTTGGTCAATTTAAAGGTGACTTACCTCCAATGAAAATGTTGAACGACGACGGCACTTGCGTGTACAATTTTTAACATTCCACAGTTCATATTAATAGTCAGTACTTGAAACTTCTCTCAAGTGAGATACTCAAATTTGAGTACAACGTTAAATGGGAGTTTTTCAATTAAATCGCAATTACAGATGTCACACATGTTATAGGATCTAACTGAAAAATTTGGGTCTAATTCAGAATAAAAATCTAAGTATCTGACGTGAGACAAGTTTTAAATAATGTATCGCCATGAATTTTGCTAAGAAAAATTTTATTCAAATATAATCTACTTGAAAAATTATAATTGCGCTAAGAATACATTTTTGTGTGAAAATTTAATTTGCCAAAAGCTACGTCATAATCGCGATTCCACTGAAAAACTCATATTTAACTCTAAACTTAAGTATGACTATCTCACTTGAGACAGACTTCAAATAATGAACTATTAATACGCGATTAAATTGAAATCCGAATATCTCACTTGAGACAAGTCTCAAATATCGACTATTAATATGTAGAAACTAGACCGATCAGAAAATTGTAATGTGAACGATATTCTGTGGCCGCGCGAGACGTCTTGTTTATTAATTAACAAGATACGTGCACAATGCCGCTCCGCAGGATTAAAGGTGCTATTTGTTTTAATAAGGCATGAATATGCTCTCCCGGGTCGAGACTCGCGCGAAGGTTTAAAGGGCCCTTTTACTCCCGCTCAGCATATGGATGACCTCGTTCGCGACCTTTTATACATTTTACCGGAGAAATGCGTCGTCCCCCGGGCAACGCCACGTTACTTCGCTGTTCCCTCCGCGGGGTCGTTCGATCCGTTTCTTAATCCGGATTTTGCGCTATTCATAGACCGCTAGCCGACGGAATCGATTCCGAGGCCGGGTAAGAGAAAGAAAGAACGAAAGAGAGAGAAAACCGACGACGCTCTTCGATGGGTGTTCGATCTTATTAAACGGAGACAAGTATCGCCACACACGCGACGGTCATCAACGATCGTGAATCGTCGTTTGTGTATGTGCGGGCGCACGTGTGCGGCGAACCGTTGCTCTACCACCGCTCTTAATGAGCTTGAAGACCGTTCAATTCGTTGCACGCGTGACTCCAATAGCTTTTCCGTGACTTCGCCGATTTTTCAACGAGAATCCCGGACGTGGCGCTCGGTCCGGGTCGGAATACGCAAAGAATTGGACTCGCCGCGTCAATATTCACACGTTTGCGTTATATAGACAATGTTTCCAGAACATTTATCTCAGTACAAAGTTACATTGTCGCGGTGTAAGCAAAAGATGAACAGCTAACAAAAGTGTAGTAACTCCCGGTGAGACAACATATATCAATTTTTTTCTGTTCTTATTTTTATTTCGATTATACTACAGTAATATAATCGCGGATTTACGTTATCTTACGAAGAAAATTGCTTATTATATGAAAATTCATTATAGATTTTGTAATTAATTTGCCAAGAATTCGTTTATAATTAATTGTGTCGTCTTTAAATTAATTGACGACACTTGAGGATTATCTTGAAAATATAGATTTCTCATTTCACACATCGTATTTTTCTGATCTGTCTTGAATTCCGTTAATTATATATAAAGCAAACGAGGTTTTCTGATGAGAAATTAGTAAATAAAATTTGAAGAAATTGTAGCTGTATAATGGTGAACTGAAAATGACGGTTTTAGAAACCGATTCTTGTGTATATCACCACTGTAGAAAATATGGCGTGTAAAATAAAAATTTTATTGAATGCGAAGAGAAAAAAAGAGAGAGTGTATGTGTGTGTATGTATATATGTGTTTCACGCTCCAACTGTATTCCGATGGTTAAACGTTAATCGATAATCGATGAAGCGATTTGCCGTCGTATCGATCTCGTCCGGATTTTTGACACTTTCGGTCAGTAAGACGGCGCGGTATTGCGGCGTATTGCGGAATGTAAAACGATATAACTAGCTATGGAATCCTAGTTATCCTCTATTCAGACCGAAACACCCACACTGCATTTCTAGATTTGCGGTTCTACTCGCTCGTGCATCCTTAATCGGCTCGGTTTGCGGGTCTATTGATTCCTGGCGTTAACCGGATCCCGAATTCAGAACGCGAAATCGCCCCTTGATTGGCATTAATCACGACTACGAATGCATTCGCGTTGACTGTAGTTCCTACTACTCGTTCGTACGTGGATATGGTTCGTTCCCTGTACCCAATTTATTCTTGGAACACGGCAAAACTGTCGTTAGTCCTTGTAACATACATATAACGCATATAATGCGCAACTTAACAAAGTATTCCTGTGTTTCTTCATATTAATTTAACAGTCCAATTAAATGAAAAATCCGTGAAGTCTCCGCAATTAAATCGCAAATTCTGAAAGAGAGAGGAATATCAAATACAAAAATAGAAGTATTTGCGCGTCGAAAACTCGATTATACGAAAATATAAAAAAATTTTATCAAGTAAACCGAATCGGATAAATATTACATCGAATGTAATATTGAACAAATATAAAAAATGAACAAATATAAAAAATCGAAATATCCAATTAAAACATTTGCCGAGAGGACAAACAATTGGCCTTGGTTTTTCGCAAGCACGTTTCGAGTGCAACTTGCGTATGGATATCAGCGTAGAACGATAATTGAAATAATACTGTGAATTTCGTGCGGCACTTCGAATTCAACGCATATGAAGCCTGTCACGCGCTTGTAATCGTGCAAATTTATTCTTCAAGTACTCGAAGAAGAACCCATCGAGCGGGGAAGGAGGACGAGGGCTTTAAGGAACGTTATCCCCGTCGGCAGTTTACACTCCGGGCGTTCAGGTCCTCTTCCGCGGGTGTCTGCGTTGCGGTAACGTCGGAAACTTCGCGCGCGTCCCAAGTTTCGGCCGCAAATGCGCCCGATCTGGACGACACGTCTTGATCTCGCGTCGTTCTCGCGTGCTGGCAACTCCTCGCGCTTGCTCGCGTACCTTGTCCTCCGGTGTACTCGCCTTACTAAATCGCTCGCAAGTCGCTAAACTCGAGGCCTCTGGACCGCGGGTTGTGCGCGCGACATACAACGCGGATAACGACGTGTAGAAACCGCTCGAACTGGGTCGAGCACCTTTTTTCGGTCGCAGCTGCAACGCCACCCCTCTATCCAATCTGCCCGACTCCTCGTGCGCGCGCGAAATTGCATCTGTTTCATCGGCATTCAGGAAGAGTGCCAAAGTTCCGGTCTCTCGCGCCGATCGCCTCGCGAAAAACCGCCGCCCTTCCCCTCCTCGCTTCCCCCCGGCGTTCGTCGTGAAATCCGCTCCGGTCTCGCTGCTATATGCGGTGCATGTGCAGTCGATCACGCGGAATATCAAAAGGCCTGGGCTCACCGTGCGCTCGAGGATTTTCCGAGTTTTACGACGCGGCCGGCCCGACGTTTATGCGGATATTCTCCCGCACGGCACGTTAACAATTCCCGGCCGTCTCTTCCGACGTTATTCCTCGTAAAAGCGCCGTTCTCGTCGGCGGCTGCGAAAGAGCGAGATTAAAAGAAGAAATATAATTGATTGATAATAGGGAATTATGCCTGGGGACCGGTGCGAGTCACAGGAGGATCGAACGGTAAAGAGCTTTCCGCCGGCTTTTGATGGCTTTGGCGAATGGATCAACCGGGCGTTTGTTCCTCGTTTAAATGGAGACGAACATCGTCGGAGTTCGACGTTCAATTACGCAGATATTTGACGTTGGAAATGAAAAATCTCGCGGACGACAGCTTCTGTTCAAATCTTTTTGAACGTTTTAAAAAATTTCACTAAATCTGAAACTGACGAGAAAATGGACTCCTATCTCAGTATTTCTATTATAAATGTTACTGAACAATTTTACACTAAGAGAGGGAAAGAGAGAATTTTTTTTTAACCGTACATAGCAACGTTAATTTTCGAAATTACATATTTGACAAATGTATAAACGCCGTGCTATTTGCCCCGCGCTGTGAGTACACTCAGAGAAAAATATTTATTTATTTATTTTTTTGGTGGATACTGGTGATATATTTATTTATACGATTAT